CCTGCCACAAAGACCCACCCAGTTTCCTATTTCCACATTAGTTTTTAAAATGGTTGTTCACTTAGGAAGTGAAGGGGAAAAGTTTTCTGAATTTGGAAGTAAGTATTAAAAAAAGAAAAAAGGAAAGGGAAAGTGAACAGAGTCTACCACTCTCCCAGAGAAGAAGTTTGACTATTGCATCCCCTGGAATGATTTCCCTCCATCTTGGTAGTGAGGGACATAAGAATTTGATTGGGATCATTCACTTGTGTCTTCTTGGTGTGGAGCTGCTATTATCTTGGATTTTATCTTGGTGAGTGCCAGCTGGCATGCACCTGAAGGTCTTTTGGAGGCTTGCCTTTTCTCTTTTGCTTGTACCCTTGCTGGGGATATGGATTCTCCCCGTTTCCCTACTGTACTATTGTTCTATGGGAAATTTCACTGTTTCTCTTATAAATCCAAGCTTGACTATATCCCAGTTTCATCTGATTTGTCTCTACTGTTTACTGTTGCCCTCTCTTGACTTATCTCAACATCCTCTCCACAAGCCATGAGCATGATGATTTTGTTTCAGATTCATGGAATTGTAGGATAGTGATGGATGTCTCTAATCCACCATCGTAAGAGTTGTACTGAAGTATTTTTGATCTGTCTTTCCACTCTGGCTAAGATGTCCAACAGTTTTTCATGTATTTTTTGGCCAGTTGTAGTTGTTTTGAGAACTGTCTGTTCAATTCATTTGTCCATTAATTCATTGCATTATTTGTTCTTTGGTGTTAAAGTTTTCAAATTCCCATTCTTTAGGCTGTCTTTTCACTCATAATGTTTTCTTTGGCATTCAGCTTTTAAATTTGATATTAACCTGTTTGTCAATTCTTGCTCTCATTTCATGAGTTATTAGAGTTCTATTCACAAAGATTTTGCCTAATAATTAGGTCTTGAAGTATTTTCCTGATGGTTTCATCTAGTCATTTCAGAATTTCAGGTCTTAAACTATGAAATCCATTTCAAAATTTTTTATAAGGTGGGGTATGGGGACCTGGTTTCAGGCCTCTACATATGACTATCCAGTTGTCTTATCCATTTGTTGAATAGGCTCTCTTTTTGCTAACATAAGTTTTTGGCATCTTTGCCAAAAATCAGTCTGTAGTAGTTGTGTGGCCTTAGTTTTGGGTTCTCTATTCTAGTTCACATGCATGTTTTCTGCCAATTCTATTCTAGTTTTCTTTTACAGTGGCTCTGTAGTCTAATTTGAAGTCAGGTATAGTGATACCTCCAGCATTGCTACTCTTGCTCAGGAATACTTTGTCTATTTGTTATCTTCTGTGTTTCCATATGAATTTTAAGATTCTTATTTCTAGTTCTCTAAGGAATTTTATTTTAATTTTTATGGAAATTGAATTAAATTTGTAGATCACATTTAGTAATATGTCATTTTCACAATATTAATTCTGCCATTCCTTGAAAAAGAAAGGTCTTTCCATCTTCTACTGTCTTCTCAATTTCCTCATTCTGTGTTCCTTAGATTTCATTGTAGAGCTGTTTCACTCCTTCATTTTGTTTACTCCTTGGTGTTTTTGTTTTTGAGACTATTGCAAGTGGAATAATTACCATGATTTCTTTCTTAAAAAATTTGCTGTTGGTGTAGAGAACAGGTGCTGATTTCAGACATTAATTTTGTGTCCTACTAGTATGGTAAAAGGGCTTATTAGCTCTAGTAATTTTCTGGTTGAGTATTTAGGGCCTTTTAAGTATAGGATCATATTATCTGCAAATAGAACAGTTTGATTTCTTTCTTTCCTATTTGTATCCATTTTATTTGCCTTATTCTCAGGCTAAGAATTTAATCACTATATTGAATAAAGGTGAGGAGAGTGATTAACCTTGTCTTGTTTTCCATTTTACAGGAAATGATATCAGTTTTTTACCCATTTAGTATGACGTTGCCTATAGGTTTGTGGTATGTAGCCTTTATTCCACTGAGGTATGTTCATTCTAGACCTAGTTTCTTCTGAGCTTTTTTCGTGAAGGGTTACTGAATTCTGACAATGGACTTTTGTGCATCCATTCACTTTATCATGTCAGTTTCATCCCTGATCTACTTACGTGTGGAAATACCTTATTGATGTGGACATGTTGAACATTTCTAGCATCCCTGGAATGAAACCCACATGATCATGGCCAATGAGGTTTTTAATGTTTTGTTGAATTAGGTGTGCATGTATTTTACTAAGAAATTTTTCAGGTATGTTTATCAAGGAAATTGTTCTATAATTTTTCTCTCTGTTTGTTGTGCTCTACAGTTTTGGCATTAGTGGAGCACTGGCTTCACAGAATGAGTTTGGTGGTATCCCTTCCCTTTTTATTTTATCAAACAGCTGGATGAGCATTTTGTTAGTTTATATTAAAATGTCTGATAGAATTGAGCAGAGATTTGTTCTCCTATAAGGTAGTGAACAAAAGGTTGCATTTCCCCTTCCTCTATCCTCTCACTTCTCTTGCTTTCTTTGGCCTCACCATCCTAGGATCTGCATCAATGTCTTGTCCCTATAACCCCTTTTCTCCTTGTACTCTTTCTTCCACTTTTATTTCACACCTTTGCAGTGTCAATGTCCCCAGATTTTCCTTTTTCTATCACAAGTCTTCAATAAGCAGTGAGGCTCACAGAAATATCTAAATTCTTGCTAAATTTTGAAGAACAGTAGGAAGTAGAAGAAACGGAAAGGACTCTCCCATTCATAGTCACCAGTTGAGGCTCTTGAGTAAATGCAAGTAGCATCATGTATGTGACAGTTGCAGAAATGGTAAAATTTACCTGCCACCATCTGATCCTGTTGTTTTCACTGTGACAGTTTGTATTTAAAACACTCCTGTTTCTTTTTATGGATATTGTTCTGTGCCTCCCTCCTTGTACTACTGCTGATAATTATTGACAAAGTATATTTTTCTACAAATTTCAATATCAATTGGCACTGCATTGTGTGAGCAAGTCCAATTTATTTGACTTATATTTGAAGATGAGTCTATGGGTTTCCAGGTGAATCTTTAGCATCTTGTTTTCTTTTTACTCCTCTTGGCAAAGCCTTTCCAGGCATTTGGCCTAATTCCACTTATCTTCTACAAAGTCAAATGATTGTGCTTTCCACTGAGATGATCAGTAGGAAAAAACAACATTTGGAATTAGATAATCTCTAAGGGAAGTAAGGAACAGAGTGGAACATCCATGGCTCACTGCTGTGTCAGAACTCAGTATTTACGGCTCCCTTTTGGAAAGCCCCTTTACCTCCAGGAATAATGGATAAGTTGGAGCCTATTAAAACTCTCCAATAATTTCATAACACACACCAACAAGAAACTAGTCATTGTTCTTTGATAATTATCAGATGGGAAAAAAACTTTCCGAAAAGTTTATACTCCCCAATCCTGCATGCCCATTAGCTCTACAGGTGAAATGATAATTGCAGGTCTGAGGGGAGGTGAGGTCACAGAATCACAGACACATAACTCAGGAACTGGCTGCCACCATGCAGCTCATGATCTTTTCAAAGATACCGTTGCAGTGAGACTGCCATTCCTGCAAAGAGACGGAGCCAATGAGTCATTTCATGTGCAGTGTGAGAAGCAGAGTCCATACAGGAAAACCCATCCAAGAGTCTAGGTAAGTAATTATACAGAAAAAAAAAAAAACCCTGATTCTTGATTATATCTAGGTGAATGGCAAAGCCACACATAAAGCAGACAAACTCATGGAGCTCAACACTGTTACAGGAAACCTACATTACTCAGTATTCCTGCAGGATTGCCTATGATCTCTCCTTTCCTGTTTAAACAGTAGGAAAAGTGTACAGGAACATGTAGTTTTTTAGGGTATGGGTATTGTGGTTCTAACAGTAGACCTCGAGATTGCTAGGCAGGCACTTTACCACCTGAGCCACTCCACCTTCTCAGGAACATGTCATTGTATGCAGAACCTGTAACTGAATGCTGCTTACATGTGTATAAAGTTTTCTCCAACTCTGACCATATGATGCAAATAATGATGAAAATTATTGTAGGAATCCTGAATTCATCACTAGTCTGTGATTATGATTAGGCTCTTTGTCTCTTACAGGCTGGTGAGGAATATTTAAATACAAGTTAACATAGCAATTGAGAGTTTGCAATTCTCCTTCTCAGATGAGTATTATCTTGTTTTCACCTATTTAAAATTGTCCTCATTCTAACAAATATACCACTTTGGTATGGCAATTTCATAGTGGAGGAAGCTCTTTACCTTTTCTTATGTTTTGCTGTGAAACTAAATCTGATATTAAATATTAAGTCTGTTATATATACAGTTGAGTGACATCCCCAAATCTAACTTAAGTTTTTCAAATGCCCAAGACTTCATGCTATGCACATGACAGGTTGCATATATGGCTGCTATCATTATATCATTCACTAATCTTCCTTCATTGATAACAGATGTTTTAACTCAAGTATCAACACATAAGAGTATTATCAGAAATTGGAACTAAATTTGTTTCACTTCTTTACTCATTTGTCCACTGCTGGTTCTTTTTGTCATCAGAGTAGGGAATTACATGGGATGATTGAGTAATTCTTCTAATAAGTGTCAGTGGACTTGTGATCCTAACATAAAATGCAGTCTTTCATTTCATGCCATCCTGCATCCCAAACACCCCTAATCACAGTTACAATTTTGACAACACATATATCTTCTCTTCCAAAACAAGTTCTCTCCATTATGATTAAAGTCATAGTATGGCCTGCCAGATAGATTATTAAGAATGAAGAAGCCATCATGTGTTGCCTTCCTCACAGCTATTTTTTATTATAAATGATCTCTGAGATTATAATACAATACTTGGGATACTCTTAGAAATACACAAACATTGGGGAAATATTTCTAGTGGGGTTAAACTGTGAATGGATGATTTTGAGTTTAGTTGATTGAGTACATACAGTCCATGCATCTTTCCATGCAGGACCCTCTGGCTCAGAGAGCAGGAACTCATAGGATGGAAGCCAGTGATGTGGTTATAGGAATGATCTTCACAATACAGACTTTTGTTGGAATTCTGGGAAATTTCTGTCTTCTCTACCATTATTTGTTCCTCTCTTACACTGGGCTCAGGCTAAGGTCCACAGACATGATTCTTAAGCACTTGACTGTTGCCAACATCTTAGCTCTTGGGTGCAAAGGAATTCCCCAGACAATGACAGCTTTTGGTCTGAAAGTTTTTCCCGATGATATTGGATGCAAACTACTTTTCTATACCCACAGAGTGGGCAGAGGTGTGTCTATTTGCAGCACCTGTTTCCTGAGTGTCTTCCAGGCCATCACCATCAGCCCCAGGGACTCCATGTGGGCAGAATTTAAGGTTAAAGCTTCCAAAAACATTGGATTCTTCATATTCTTGAGCTGGATCCTGTCCCTCCTTATAAGCATCCTTCATCTTATGTTCATGACTGCAAAAAGAAGCAATTATAACAGCACCAGCCTAAAAAGTTATGGATACTGTTCTTCTGTTCGTCATGATAAATACCATGACATACTGTATTCAGCAATCCTGACATTTCGTGATGTCCTTTGTCTGGGGCTCATGCTCTGTGCCAGTGGCTCCATGGTTTTCATCCTGTACAGACATAAGCAGAAAATGCAACATGTTCATAGGGCCAGCATCTCCCCCAGATCCTCCCCTGAGTCCAGAGCTACCAAAACCATCCTTCTCCTGGTGAGCACCTTTGTCTATTTTTATATGCTTTCTTGTATCATTAATTTTTGTGTGAGTCTTAGTTATAATCCCAGCTGGTTCCTGATAAATGCATCTGCAATAATCAATGTCTTTTTCTCAACAGTGAGCCCTTTCCTGCTCATGAGTGGTGACTCCATTTTATCCAGACTTTGCTCTGATTGGATAAGGAATAGGGAAACTTTCTAATCCCATCAGGAGCTTGTAAATCATTTGTTTTTGTACTCAACTTCCATTACCTATTCATCACCACACACTTTTGTTTGGTGGTAGTAGAGTTTGAACTCAGGGCCTCATGCTCTGGGCAGGTGCCACTCTGCCATCCCTATTTAGTGTTAGATTTTTCTGAAATAGGTTCTCATGAACTATTTGCCCAACCTTTCTTCAAACCTGATCTTCAATCCTCCTGATCTCTGACTCCTGAGTGGCTAGGGTTACATGCATGAGCCATCGGTGCCTGATTTACTACACACTCTTTAGTGTGGGAAAACAGTCACAAATTAAAAGCAGGTGGCATATACCTATGTCCTCCCACGTACCTACTAACATACACTTTTGTATGTTATATTATAATGTATGTATATATATATATATATATATATATGTGTGTGTGTGTGTGTGTGTGTGTGTGTGTGTTTTCATATCTCAGTTATGTTGTTTATCCATGAAGCAATATTAAACATTTTAAAAAATGAAATGCAAATTTCAGATGTAAAATACTGCTTATTAAAACAGTGGCAATCTGCTTTAATATAAAATTTCTTTTATTTGACCTTTATCTTTCCATTCTAGTTGGTTATGTGGTTAAAATACATTGATTGGAATCCTATTAATTCAGTTCAATTCTGTAGCTTGCCTATTTTTCCTGGAAAAAATATATAAACTTACATTACACAGTTGACTTTATGTAAGTAGTTAGCCTTTCAGGTTAATGTAGTAATGGACATATTTAGGAACAATTTACCAACAGTCATGAATCTTTATGATGGTTCTATTTTCTTATTCCTTCTATATTGATTTCTTCCATGTTATTGATTTTCATATTTCTAGTTTCCCATTTTAAATGGTGATATATATTTAGCATGACTTAGAATTCAACTTTGAAATTATAATTTTTTTCTAAAGGAGTCACTCTTTTTAGCCTCCTCCTTGAACAATTATCAGTGTATACAAATCTACTTACATTGTTTCAATGAATTTTCAATTTCTAATATGTGTTTAAAACAATTTATGCACAGGTCATGAGTGCACTGCTCAATGAGATTTCACAAACTGAGAACACCCTGCATGCACTCACCCATACCTCCTCATGACCCTCCATCACCATCCCCAAGAGTGACCACAATGCAAAATGCAAAATTTAACTGTATGCATCACTCTAGTGTACACATGTGGAGTCACACAGCATCCAATCCTCAGTGTCTGACTCTTAAAAACTTCCGTATGTTTTTAATTCATTTACATTTATCCAATGTTTGGATATCCAGTAATTAATTTTGTCATTGATAACATGTACCATTGATACACATGTGAGTGATGTTCAGTCGGGGGCCATCATCCATCCTCTTGGTATGTAAATTCTACCTTATGCTTTGGTGATACACGTAGGATTTGTTGTTGTTGTTGGCTTATACACATTCTGGGTTTGAACTTGAGGTCTTACTCTTGTTAGGCAGGCACTCTACCACTGGAATCAGCCCAAGCCTTTCATTACTTTGGCTGTTTTTCAGATTGGGTCTTGAGTTTTTTCCAGTTCTAGCCTGGAGGCTCAATTCTCCTGATATCTACTTCTCTAGTAAGTAGGGTTACAGGCATGTGCCACTGATGATCATTCCTGCATGTAGGGTTTCTCTTGGCATATGTACAACAGTTGACTTCTGAATCACTCTTCAGATGTTTACACAAGCTTACATTACTTTAGCTTAGCAAATATTTCCAGTCTTCCAAAAACAGTGTGAATTTCACACCAGGAAAAAGTTCTTATTGAATACAATATCATTTCACATGTCTTTCTAAACTTAATATTTTCTTTTTATTTTTAGCATAAATTAAATTGTACAAAGGGGTTTTGTCATGGCATTTCCTTACTTTGGTTAAATTCACCTCTTCCTTTTCTCCATCTTATCCCTTCTATTCCCTCTCTTTCTTCTTTCCATCTCACCTCCCTAGTAGTCCTCCTTTTACTTTTATGAACTTGGTTTGTGTTTTTTTCTTCCTACCTTTCAGAAATGAGAGAAAACATGGAAATTTTTTTTTGGCCAGATTGGCTTATTTTGTTTAACATGTTATCTCTAGTTCTTCCATCCATTTTCCAGCAAATGACATAGTTTTATTCTTCCTAAAGGCTGAGGAAAACTCAACGGTGTGGATTTCCCACATTTTCTTTATCCATTTATTCCCTGATGGGCACCTAGGCTGATTCCATAAAATTTGGCTATTGTGAACAGTGTCACACTAAATATAGGTATGTATGCACATGTGAATAAATGAATAATAAATAAATAAATAAATATGGGTATGCTGGCATGTTGCTAGTAAGATCACTTGATTGTTTTGGGATGGATACCTAGAAGTGGTATGCCTGGGAGCTTCTATTTTCATGTTTTTTGAGGAACTTCCATACTGATTTTCATGGTACCTGAGTTAAATTACATTCCCACCACCAGTGAATAAAAATTCCTTCCTGTTGTATCATCACCAGTATATAATTGTTATTTTTTTTAGTACTAGCCATTGTGAATGAGGTAAGGAGAAATTTCAATGTAGTTTTAATTTTCATTGTATAACTGCTAATGATGCTGAGAAAATGTGTTTATTGGCCTGTTGTACTTCTTCATTTGAAAAATATTAATTCCATTATTTGTTCTTTTGGTGTTTAATTTTACTTTGAGTTCTTTATATCATGTGAATGTTAATCCAATGTTGGATGAAGATTTGATGTAGACTTTCTTCCATTCTGCAGCTATCCTTTTACTCTGTTTATTGTTTCTTTTGCGTGTATTTGCTTTTCATTTTCAGAGTCCAGTTTTGAAATTCTCGCTTTCATTTACTATGCTATTAGATTCTTATTCAGAGAGCATGTGACCCCGCCCATATCTTGAATTTTTCCCCCTAACAGTCCTCGAGTTTTTTGTTCTTATAGGAATTACTGACCTAGTGCTGGAAATGTAGCTCAGCACTGCATCACTTGAAGAGCATGTGAGCTCTGATGATCAATTCCCTTCAGCCAAACATCAAATATTTGAAAAACAGACCCTTTTCCCATTATGTGATCTGAGAGATGTTCCCCTTCACTGTTTAAAATATCATTTTATACATACAAAGTTTTTAGTTGGCCATCCATTTTAGATCAATTTCTTTTATATGTGGGTAGTGATTTGAGTTCTCTTTTTCATGGAGGTAATGTGTGTTAATTGATTCTGGAGATACTGTGCCTGGCTTTTTTGTGGTTGTTCTTGTTGGATGTGTCGCTAAGACCTCTCCTGCTCTGACTCCTCTCCACCTCACCACTATGCAAACGAGTAAGTGCAAGGGGCCCCTTCCCTAGCACCTGCTTGATGTGTGGTAGAGACATCTCCCTCCTAAAGTTTATTTTTGTGGCGTGCCTGCTGGTGTGAGCCTGTGGATCTTCCTGGAGTTTTCCTTTTCTGTAACCCCACCACAGGGGAAATTCCCCTTCTTCCTTACCATTTTGTACAATGTGTATGCTAGGGCTCATTGTTTCTTTTATATATCTAAAGTTAAAGATTTTTGGATCTCCTCTGCTTCCTAACCATTTGCTGTTTACTTTTTCCTTATCTAGCCTTCCTATGACACCCACATGAGCCAGTCACCTGAGTATTGTTTTTTTGAATAGGGTAGATGCAGGAAACTCATGGAAGCCATGTTAGTTCTCCTTAGGTGTTGCCTCCTGATAATGTCCCACAGCTCTTGAAAGTTGTGGTCTCCTGCTTGTTATTTTTTTCTTTATTGATTTATTAACATAATATCTCCTCAACCTTTGCATTCAATCCCTGACACTCTTATCTTCTTGATCTTGTCTATTGATTAATTTTTGACTATATTTTTATTTGAATTCTTAAATTTTAATTTTAGCTTCTATTTATTTCAGAAACTTGCTTTCCTTGCTGAAGTTCTCAGGCATATTGTCTACTTTCTCATCTAGATTTTTGAATTTGCTTCCTTCTTTCATTTATCTATTTGTTTGGATCCTCTTTGAAGCCACTGATTATTTTTCAAAGTAGACTTTTAAAATTTTTGTCCATTTAGTATTTTGAATTCATTACTGTGGAGTTATGAGCTTTTGGATAAGTCTTGCATTCTAATATTTCTTAGCTTTCTACATTATGATTTGGGCATTTATGGGGTGAATAACTCAGTTTTATGGGCAGCTTCTCCTGGGGTTACAATCCATGCTACCACTCAAAGGACAGAATCAGACAACAATAGAAAAACCAACAATTCAAAAACAAACAAGGGCTAGGGTCATGGCTCAAGTGCTGGCCAAAAGAAGCCAGATTTAAATGAAGTATAAATTATAATCATCAACCATACCTCTAATAAATTTACAAAGTCAGGAAATAGGTTAAGATAATATAAACTGTGTGTCTTAAAATTATCAAAGCTATATAGGAAAATGAATGCTCAGCCAAGACGAGCACTGTCTCGCATTCTCTGTCTGAAGAGGTACCTTATCCATTGCCTTGCTAACGTCCCAATTAGAATGCCATTTGGGTTTGCCAAAACTCAGTGAATTAAGATGCTGAAAGTCCATTGTAGTTTACTGTACTTATATCATTAATGCCAAGGTTTTGATAAGTCACTTGTACATATGGGAATAGCTGTATACAATTTAAACTGGGTTCCCCATTTGCTGAGTTTTTATTATTTTAATCTTGGGATGTATTTTTGTAAAGTCACTGAATTTTAACTGCATTGTCTGAATCCAGACTCTGGTAAATATAGTTTCAAAGAAAAAGCCCCTCTTTGTTTATATAGCACCCAGTTATTTTAGGAGTCTGCTTAAAATCCATTATTCATTTGAAAATGAAAGAGTCATTAAAAATTATTAAAAGATAACAGTATTAGCCAATAAAAGAAGGGGTTGTGGGAAAGGTGAAAAACAGGGAAGAACCAGTAAAAAAAGAGAGTAAATGTATATGGGATGAAGCTATAAGAAATAATACTGAGGGAAAACACAATTTAAAAAGTGCAGAGAAAGACAAAACAAAACCCAAACACCATTTTTTGAGGAATCATGGATGGATTTGTTTCCCCAAGTATGTCATTTGCAGTTTAGTTGGAGTGTGTGTAGACCAGCCATTTTCTCTCTGAAGTCCAAAAATGGTAGAACAAAACTGTCTGCAAGATGAGTCCAAAATGGCCTTTCCTTCTGGGCTGAATTTCTGTCACTGCTTTTCCTTATTCAGGCCTGCCAATGGGAGAAATCAGCAACCACTCTCAAACTTGTGCTTCCAGCTGAGTCTCAGGAAACCCATAATTGGATGCCTCCTTGCACAAGTGGAGATTTGCGGGAGCTGGCTTGTGAAATTTCTGA